GGGGGCCGGGCTGGGGGGGCACCCACCTGCACCAGGGGGATGAGGGCACGGACGTCCCGCTCCGACACCTGGATCTCCCACACCAGTTTGTCCTTCTGGGCCTCGGGGTCCTGGCCGGGGTACTCCACCTGCCAGGTGAGGGGCCGCGCCGGCGCCAGCCCCCCTGTCCCATTCTCCACCGCCAGGTCCAGGTGCAGGAATGCGGCGGAGTCGGCTGCCCTGCATCACCGCACGGGGGTCAGGGATGCCCCGTGTCCCCCAGTCCCCCCACTGGGCCATACTGGGATGGGAGCAGTGCAACACACAGGTTCCCTTGCTCTGACTGGGCCATACTGGGATGGGAGCAGCGCAATGCACAGGTCCCCTTGGGCCATACTGGGATGGGAGCGGTGCAACACACAGGTCCCCCTGCGCCAACTGGGTCATACTGGGCTGGCAGCAGTGTCATGCACAGGTCCCCTTTACTTTGACTGGGCCATACTGGGCTGGCAGCAGTGTCATGCACAGGTCCCCTTTACTTTGACTGGGCCATACTGGGAGGGGAGCGGCGCAAAACACAGGTCCCCCTGCGCCAACTGAGTCATACTGGGATGGGGACAGTGTCATGCACAGGTTGCTTTTACTGTGACTGGGCACCACTGGGCTGCACTGGGCCCCCATGCAGAAGCCCCCTCCCACAGCGGGGGTCCCCAGGAGCCGGGGTGCCGTGCCGTTCCCTACCTCCAGCCGCCGCGAGAGTCCCCGCTCCGCCGGCACGTCACCACGGCCGTCGAGTGCTTGGGGCCCCGGGTGCGCTCCAGCTGGGCAGTCCAGGCGGTGGGGGCCCCGGGGCGGGCAGCCACCACCTGCAGCCCCTTCTTCGCCTTGATCCTGCCGGCGGATCCCCATCACACAACGTCCCCCTCCCGGCACGTGCCACCCTCCGCGGGGGTCCCCTGCCTGCCCAAGGCGGGGGTCTCACCGAAGCGTCAGTTGGTCGGCGGTGAAGTTGTGCCGCAGGGCGAGGGTGGCGGTGAAGCGCTGACCCGGGCGAAGCGTGGCGTCGGGCACCCGCAACAGCACCTTGTCATCCAGCCGGACCTCCTGCCGTCGCGCCGGCTCGGCCGCCCGTAGCTCCAGTGAGCCCAGGTACCACGGTGCTTCCCCGCCACGGCTCCGTTCCCGGCCCCCAGCACGGCCGCACTCCCCCGGTCCCACCACGCCGTAGTGCAGCTCGGCGGACTCGGGGGTCTCGGGGCGCCCGGGGGATTCGGCTGCCCGGCGGCGGCTGCGTGGGGCAGGGGATGCCGGAGAGAACCAGCGCGGGGGGATCTCCAGCTCCACCACGCAGACGCCCAGGGGTGCCTGGAGGGGAGAGTGGGACCCTGGCTCAGGGTGGGGGGGCCGAGCAGGGCAGCCCCCCCCCGGCAGAAGCTTTGGCCCCTGGTGGGTGACACTGACCTGCAGGCGGCACGTCCCACGGGCCACCCGGCCACGGTGGTGTGCGTGGAGGGCAACGCAGGGCAGGTCCCGCTCCCTGGGGTGGTCCCGCTCCCTGGGGTGGTCCCGCTCCCCGGGGTGGTCCCACTCCCCAGGGTGATCCCACTCCCCGGGGTGGTCCCGCTGCCCGGGCAGCCAGTCGGGACCTTGCAGATGGAAGAGGACGCGGGCGAAGGGCTCGGCCGGGGACACGGCGCTCTCAAGGGACACGGCACGGATGGCCCAAGCTGCCGAGCCGTCCCTTCCCGGGGGACTCTCCGTGGGCACCTCCTGCAAAGGGACAAGGATGGCGGCAAGGGGGACAGGCTGCCCCGGGGCAGCGGGGACGGTGGGGGCCATTTTACCTGCCGGGTGCTGAAGGGTGGGTAGGTGGCCTGGACGAGGGGCTGCGTGGCGGAGCTGTGCCGCAGCAGCAGGTAGGTCTCGGTGCGGGCATGCAGGGAGGTGTTGGCGGGCAGGTCCTGGTCTGCCCGCTGCAGCCGGTAGTACTCGGGCACGCCAAGCAGCTCCAGATCCGCCGGCAGGTACACGGGATCTGGGGGGTCCCCGTCACCCGTGGCTGCGAGGACAGGGACTGTGTCACCGGCCTCAGGGGCCACGGAGGGAAAGGGCTGCCCTGGGGTGGCAAGCGGGGGGGGAGCCTCCGTGCCCACTTCCACGTCTGAGGCTGCACCGCGAGAAGAAATCCGGCTTCGGCACTGCCGCGGCACCGCACAGCCCCCCACGCGGCCATCCCAGTCCCCTTGGGGACAGGGTCACCCCGTGTCTCCCAGAGGTTGTCCCTCATGTGATGCTGCACCGTCGTGGCCCCCCCCCGGGAGCGGGTGCCGGAGGGCGGCGTGGCACCCCACTGGTGCTGGGGTCAGCGTTGGGGGGGGGGTCAGCGTGGTTCCCCCAGGCCTGGCTGCTCCCCGTTAACGAAGCGGCGCTCGTCAGGCTGCCCCGCTCTGCCAGCGGCGTGGGGATCCGCTCCCCCGGTGGGGAGAGGGACGGAGCCGGGTCCCTCAGGGTGGGATCCAGGATCAGGGGCTCCGGATCCCACGGATCCCCGTGCGCACGGAACAGATCCCACCGGGATACCCGGGTAGGGGACGTTACCCACGGGCCCGGGGACAGATCCCACCCGATCCACAGCTCCGCGGGCAGATGGCGGGGGATCGGGGCAGCGGGAGAGAGGAGCGAGGCAGATCACGGCTTCCCGTGGGCCGTGGGGAAGCGGATCCCCTCGGACCGCAGGGATCCCGAGCGGATGGGGAGGAGATTCCCGCCCCCCCCGCCCCCCGGGATCACAAGGGATCCCACGTTCCTTGGGGGATCCCCTCGGGATCGCGGGGGATCGAGGGAGCGGATCCCGGCGATCCCCAATGCCTGGCGGGGGGGGGG